TTTCATACTTAGGGTGCTGGCACTCATTTGGACTGTTTGAGGTCAAAGCCAGTGTCTGCTGTTTGGTTGTCTTTATGGCTAGTTTAGTATCTTGGCCTCCACAGGCAGCAACATGGTATCTCTACTGTTTATCTCTAAACAACATGGTATCTCTAAAGCTTTCTCTACTGTTCTTGCTGTTTTTAGGAAATCTAGCATCCCTACACTCCACTCTCTGCAGATAAGGTGTTTATATTTCCTCTAAATTTACAGCTTCCTCTACCCCTAATCAGTCAACCAAAAACCATTTGCAATTATGTAGATATTATGATGATTGCAATGAATGTTTATTCATAGTACTGTATACAGCTCTCATTTCATCTTTCTATTAACTCATCACAATGACAATCAATGCTTTGAACTCTCACCTGCTAAAACCGTCTGCACCTATCCTGTTAGGTGAGGCTCCATTTGTGCTTTTTGTGCCTCCCACTCCATTTTACCTTCAAGGCATCTTATTGGATTGTAGTGCTATTGAGATAGAAACACTGTTGAAGTATGACTGTCTAATCTTGAGCAGGTTGGACTGGGAAAAGTGGGGGGAGATGGCACACCCAGACCAGCCTCCTGAAAATATGTTCTCAGGTCTCTCGTTTTTGAGATACTCCTTAAGAAAGTTCCTGAATAATTTTAAATAATGTTACCCTTCAGTAACATTCTGTAGTTCAGTAGCATAGAAAACATTCTCACAAGTCCAATAACAAAGCATTCTCCCATCACTTCACAAGTATTTGTTGAGCACCAGGCATAATTCAAGGTACTAGGTATATAGGTGTCGGCAAGCAAGTAGTCCCTGATCTCAGAGGGTCCACATCCTTCACGTTTCAACTATGGATCCTGGTGCATCCTTCTTTATGGCCCACTTTCACACCTCTCTGCTGCAGTCAAGTAGCTGCTTGGATCAAGGACTCTGGAATGGGTAGAGGTGAAGGCTGGAGATAAAGGTGGGAATCATCGTATTTAAATCCCCAAGACTGGGGCCACCAAAGTGACTATTAGAGATGAAAAAGGGCTCTGGGTGGAGTCCCAACCTTTAGAAAACAAGAAAAAGAGAAACCAGCAAGGGGTTTTGAGAAAGCTGGCCAGTGAGGCAGGGAGACAGTGAGAACAACGCATTCCAGAAGGCAAGAGAAGGGACCTGCTTACTATATCCAACCCAGATCACCCCCATTCATCATCCACATTCATGTGTTTTATGCTCACAAAAAGTCGACTAAGAATTAAGTGTGCTTAACTTTTAGCTGGAGATGGAATCTACGAATCTAATAATGTAATCTCTGAACATTGATCTCTGGTCCCACCATAGCTAGGGGCTGTATCTGAGAAAGGCAGCAATGTTAGTTTTCCTAAGAGCAGTTGGTTAAGATTACTCAGAAAACAAATGTGCACCCGAACTTCTGAACAACAGCGCTGGTGGTGCTTCGGAGTGAGCGCCATCACTTTCCCATTTGTCACAGCAAAATGGGAAATGTCTTTTGAGGTTCTGAGAGCTACATAGAGTATAATGCCAGGGGCAGGAGACAGCACAGAGATGAATGCGATTTGAGTCTAGCCAGGACAGAGCTTATATAACCTACCTCTAAGAGAAGGAAAATATCAAAAGGTTAAAAGTGCTGGGAGACTTGAGACCAAACCTTCAATTTTCTTTGATTCCTCTTAACTTACCTGTTAGAAGGAAATTCTGGGTAGCCTGAGGCAACAAGACTCTTGAGTGGAGGTTGGTGTGTTTAGGAGGTAGGAGTGTGGGCAGGAGTGGCTACCTTCTCTTGGTCATTCTAGAAGTCAGGCACTGCCCATTTTGAGCCTCTGAGGCAGGTAAACAGGGAAACTGTGCAGGTTGGACCTGGATAGTCAGCAAGACTACAGTGGGGATAGTCATGCTGCCTGGTGGCAATGCCAGGGCACTGACTGAGCAGCCAGAAAGTAGTTATTAGACACCAAGTGACCTGAGACCTGACCACTGAATGCATTGAGTCAGCGACAAAGGGCAGCCTGGAAAGTCAACACGTGATGAAGCACAGCAAAGGAACATAGGGGAAACGGAGTCTGTGTAGGCTAGAGCAACTCATACAAGAAGAAAAGGAGTTTAGCCAGGAAACATCCTGACCCCTCCCTTTCAAAAAATTCTTTTACTCATATTTATTGGCGTACCACTCATATTTATCATTATGGAGCAATAGGGCAATCTGCCAACCCCCAGACTTCTTGGGGAGACAGACAAGGATATGAGCAATTACAGGACACAATGGTATGCACATCCAGTAGTCTATATTGGCAGGGACTACAGCTTCTAGTTTGGTATTTATTTGGGATGAGTTATACAAAGTATATCAAAGGCAAAATGAAGAGTAGGTATCCCAGTCCACAGAAAGGCCTAGGATGATGCTTTGCAAAGTGTCTGGGTCACATGGTGTTCCTGAGCCTGCAGCTGAGATCCAGGAAAGGGATTCTCAGAGTAGCTAACCAGACTGTAGAACAAGCCCATTTTGAATGAGAAGGACCCACCACATTTGAACTCCCTGCCTGAATCGTTGGTGCTGCAGCCTGTTCCTAACAAGCTCAAGATAGACAAAAGGTAACAGCTCATCACAGTAAGTAGTAAAGATTCAAGACTTGCTATAGGAAGAGGGAACTGGAGCAGGAGCTGGGAGGGCCACACGGTACACAGATGAGTGCACAAACATCTGCCCATTTATGTCAGTCCCCCCAGGGCACTGGCTGAAATATACCATGGATTTTGCTAAGAAGAACACAGGGAAAGGCAAGACCTCTAGTTATGAGCAACAGGGAGGTGGAAGGAAGGAAATCCTGGTTTGCTTGCAGGGCCCTGAATTATGCCTGTTTACATGTCACATACCCTCTCCACTCTTAGACATGTCCTACATTGGATAATAAATTACATAGTCACCAGAGATTACAGTGATGCATTGCACAATTTAGCTTGGACTGTAGCCAGAAGAGGGAGATATGTAGGAAGAAAGATCTGGAAAGGGGGATGTAGTAAGAGAACATGGAGTCAGATGAGTTTAAGGTTTCAGATGTGGGACTTCCAGGTGACCACAGCTCCACCAGAGTGGGACATATGGGAGACTGGCACTTCATTTCTGGGTGTTTACATTCCTCAAATGATGACAGGACCCAGAAGGCAAGGCCTCTGAGCAGACCTGGGATGGGGCAGAGATGGGGCCTGGAGCTCGGCATGTGCTCCAAGTCCCGAGGTTGCAGTTGTCCTCACCTTCTCTGTGCTTTACCCTCTGTGCTTGGCAAAAATGGGGGTCTGCTTGTGCCCAGAAAATTCTTATTGAATGAAAGAGGGGCATGCTTTGCCTCTGGAAATTCTCAAGCATCTGAGATATGGGCTTTTTGTGCCCCATCTCATGGATGAGGATGGAGACTCAGAGGTGTCCATTAACTTGTCAGTTCCCTACAACTAGTGAATAGCAAAGGGAAAGTTTAAACTTAGATCTGTCTCACTACAAAGCCCACGTGTTGCTCATTATAATATATTAGTTTGGGTCATCAAAGTGAAGTCCAAAATAATTTATTTTATATATATATATGTATGATACATGTAAGTCTATGTATCCATGCATATTGTTATATTTATTAAGCACTTATCCTATGCTAGCCATTTTTCCACATGCTCTCCTTGGCCCTAATTCTCTCCACAGCAGCCCTACAATGTAGCTCAGCTTATCATCGCAGTAGTACTAAGGGAGCTGGAGCACAGTTGAAATGGTTGTCAAGGCCATCTGGCTCCAGACCCTTGCCCATCATCACTGAGGATGACTGCCTCAATTTGTTAATGAAGTTGTGTGTATGTTTTCAAAGGACATGATTTAGGACTGGAGAGATGGCTCAATGGTTAAGAGCACTGGCTGCTCTTGCTGAGGACCTGGGTTCGATTCCCAGCACATGTCAGCTAACAACCATCCATAACCAGTTATAGGGAATCCAATGCCCTCTCCTGACCTCTGTGGGCATAGCACAACCCAGGTGTACTTACATGCATACAAGCAATACACTCATAAGACATAAAATAAAAATAAAATATTCAAAGGACATTAGTTGCTCATGAAGTTATTTTGCTTACAAATTTCAGAGTACTTCCCAAGCTCTGAATTAACACCATCTGAGTCTGCTGCCCAGTCACTCACTGAAGAGGGGAGATTCTGCAGAAGGCCCGCTACGTACCAAAGCAGTCAGGAAAACGAAACACACCTGCAAGTTACTCCACTGTGCAGCCAAATGCTTGAAGAGCTGTTGCAGAGGAAAAAAGCACTTTGGGAGCACAGGGGACTAGAATGGAAACAAGGCAGAATGGGAGAGAGGGCTGGAGATGACGGTGTGGGACTTACAAGGGTGTAAGGCCTGATGGAACGTTGTCTGGATGCTTCGGCCCTTTTTTTTTTTTTTAATTAGGATTTAAAAAAATCTTTTTGCATGTATATATGTGTGAGCATACCTGTGTGTGTGTGCCCATGCACATGTATGTATGTTGATGTGAAGCCCCAAAGTTGACAACAGGAATCTCCCCCATCTCTCCCCACTTTTTACTGAGGCAGGGTCTCTCAACTGAACCTAGTGCTTACTGACCAGCTAGTGTAGTCAGCCAGTTTATCCTGGAGATTCTGTCTCTGCCTTTCCAGCACTGGGATTATAGGCAGCTGCCACACTGCCTAGCTTTTGTGTGGATTCTGGAGATACTCTGGTCCTTATGCTCGAGTGACAAGCACTTTATCCACTGAATTATCTCCCTAGTCCTGCTGGGCCTTTTTGTTGTACAGGCTAACACCATCAGAGAAGACAATTCAGAGACCGACCCAAGGACAAGGACATAGGACACATATAATACATTCACAGGGTTTTTGCTCTCACAGTTTATAAAGGGAGCTATACCTAACTCACAATTCAAGAAGTCAGTAAACCACAAGGCAGAAATGGATTGTGTTCTATTTCAGACCTGCACCCCTAAGCCAGTGCTGCGTGCACCATATAAGGGAGAAGTCATCACACTGACAAAAGAAGATGCCGCAGCTGGGACCAGGATGCAGGGCCATTCCTGATCTAGGTGCTGTGGTTAAGGGACATGAGCAAAGAAAGTGTTCCTGGTGAGTATCAGCATGTCATTTTCAGCATCTTTTTCTTCCCAGGCCTTTGCAGAGTCCAAGGTCGAAAGCAGCAAAGCTATACAGGACTCAAAGCCAGATGAGCCAAGGGAAGACAGATAAAGGCCATGTTGACTTAGAACACTTAGATGAGCAGTACATATTAAACAGGCCTTGGGCTAGATAGAAATTCATTCTCTACAATGTTAAGGACATAAAACTGAGCTCTAGAGACTTCTATGATTATGCAGCATCAGTACGTACTGTACTAAGAACATGTTCCACAGTCAATATTTAAAAACCACCTAGAGCCCTGTGGAAAAATGAATCTTTGTATTGCAAATGCAATTATATTCTAAAATTTAGAATGTGTGAAAAATGAATAAAAAATTGAGGAAATAAGGGGAAATCACATCACTTTTTGAGAACTAATTTTCCAAGAAAAGTATTTGATAGTATTTCATGTACTTTATTTCACATTTAATTTTTGGATACTATAGATATGCTCACTTACACAAAAATATCTGAGTGCTTCATGGGTTCTTGCTAGTCTTTGACATGCAAATCTGTTTTGAAGGCTGCACTGCCTCCATCTTTTTTCAATTTCCTTTTTCTCCATTGTTTTCTGGTTCTCGTCTGCCAAATCTCTATTTAAGGCCAGTGCTACAGTTATAGCACCTCTGTGGCATCAGTTGCACTGACTGCCTGAAATGTACATGCCTTTCCAGTTTGGCAATTTTAATAGATTCTGATTTTTTGAAATTGTGATATATACTTGGTGTTTCAACATGTAGCAATCTGGGAGACTTACACCAGCAGGCATGTCCAGCCTTCAGCCATGTGCCCACATGGAGGATAGTGATGAATGCTGCTTAACACAAAATCATACATGTACTTAAAGAGTGTTTTTTGTCATTATTTTTTAATAACTTAATTTGTGGTTCTGGAGTGTGATCTTTGTAGATAACAATATTGTGTGGCCGTGTCAGAGGATGGACACATCTATTGGAGGTTGACCTGAGGATGAGGGTATACATGTGCACTAATTAGAACACTGCTGGATGCAGGTCTGGTTTTCTATATACCTGGGCACTGCAAGTATTCCCATGCCCTGTCCTTCTCTGCATAAATTTGGTGACTGCAGAGATTTGGATAATGACCACTGGAGCATTGCCTGCCGCCCTGGATCCAACATGCTGTGCGTTCTCTCATTATTGAACATTGTTAGGTTTTAGCAATGCTATCTAGCCCTTAGTTTCTATAGCATTTCTGTCATTTCTAGATTACTGGAAGTATTTGTGCAATTCAGGAAGATTATATTAAATATTCTGGGGAAGATTAGCAAGAGAATAAAAATGGCATTGAATGTGATCATTTGTTATTTACAGAGTCTGTAGGAACTGGCTTAGTGCTTACTTTGATTAGAGCTTGTCTTGGGGTCAGGTTGAATTCAGCCTCTCTTTGTGATGGAAATGTTACACTGAGTGCTTTCTTGCTTTTCAAAGGTAAAACTGCAGCAAAGGCTGCTGAGGGTCCCTTCCCATCGCACGCTGTCAGCCTCCAGGAGAAGCAGGTCTCTTTCAACTCCCCAAGATCCTGTAGGAGAAATAATCGCTCTAGCCTCTTTGATTTTTCTCTCAGAAGCATTTGCTGTCTGCCTCACTGTGCCATTGTTGCTGTGGAAGATCGAAGATATAAATGAATGTTATTGTGATAGAAAGTCTGCATGAAGATTCATTGACGATTCTTTTAAAATGTTTTCTTGACTTACACTAGATTTCTTTCTTTGAATTTTAAAAAATGACTTCCTTGTGTAAAGCTTTTTTAATGGCTACATTCATTTAAAAATACCACTGTGATTTTACATTTGATTACAATTAATAAACACTAAGAACGTCATTTTATACTCTGTTATCTGAGTTCCATGTATCTTCTATCTAGTGGGATTAGGATCCCAGGGATTGGAGAGGGCGTTTCTTGTGTGGCAATGTGTGTCAGTGGCTCCTGTAAGTCAAGTTTTTGATGGGTCCCCTGTAATCAAAACTAGTGCTCAACCTGGAAAGAGCCCAAAGCAAATCATCCAGTCACATTGATGAATTAGGGATTTGAAGGGATTAAATGGAATCGGAATCGGCATAGCCTGAAGATGTCATGTTGATTTGTTTCTCTTCTGCCCTTTCTGTGCCCTGGTCTCTTTGTGCAGGAAAGCTGGGCTTCTGTTTCCTCTCTTGGGTAAGAAAGTCAAGAGGGATGTTTAAAACACAAAGTAAAGTCAGGGCAGTGATACTGTCCTGGTGCATACTTATATCCTGATATGCTAGTCCAGGTTGGGGTGTGTTTTCACCTTTAACAGAAGGCAATAAAAGCCCAGTATGCCCAGCTGAGCACACAGAAAAAAGGATGATGAGTTGTATCTGAAGAGGAATCTTCCAGCTCAATTCAACTGCAGCTCCCCCTCCCCCAGGTAAGATACCTTACAATATTTTGTTTGTTTGTTTTTTCCTTCTCTACCATGGTTGACAATGACAACTCCATAACAGCACTAAAGAACTCTTTGCCAGAAAATAATTACCTTTCTTTCCCACCCAGAAGTCAGTTCTTACTCATCTTTTAATGTTTACTTGAAATGTCACCCTCTCCCAGAGGCTTTCCGAGATCCAATGGGATAGGGTTAGTTTCTCTTTTCTGCTACTGCATAGTGGGGTCCAAGCTGCACCCCATCACCTCCCTTTGCCTCATGCATTGTGCAGTCACCCTGTGCCTGTGGGTTCCACACCCATAGACTTAACCAATGGTTCAAAAATATTTGAAAACAGACCATACTAACATCTACAGACTTTCTTTCCTCATCACTGTTCTCTAAATAATACAACTGATCAACATTTTACACAGTGTTAACCTCACATTAACTCATATAAGTGATCAAGAGACGGGTTCAAATACAAGAGAGGACATGCATAGGTTATCGGTATGCTGGCGCATCAGTACTCCTAGATTTGGGGATTCACATTGCTCTGGGACCAAACCCCATGTGTATTTGCTGAGGGACAACTACAGTTACCCGCTTCATTTCCCCATCTTCTGAAAGCTCACAGGGTGGGGCCTGGCTGATTCGCTCTCACTCCCCCAGCACCCAGCAGAGTGCCTGACCACTGATGGGCATTTGGTGGGAATTTACTAATTTTTAAATAAAAGAGGAAATGAAAAAGTTCCTGCTAAGCTCTTCAGTTGACATGGATGAAGTTAGAGCACCTTCAACAAAACAGACCAACTTGGGAGTCTCTGTGTAAAGGCACTTTGAAAGGAGTGCACTGGTCATTATCTACTTGACAGCTCGAGTGGAAAGAAGGGAATAGCTGTGGGATTCTGCCGTCGGAAATGAATATGGGACCCCTTTTGCTGCTTTTATTATTTTTTACTAGCATTTTTGTGGAGACATAATTCTAATTAACAATATGTCAGTGGGAAAACAGGATCCAAGCTATCCATAGTCAAGCCATATTTTTTTTAGGATTGACTCTGATATAAAGTAAGACATTTATCAGTCATTAAACAATTGCAGCTTTAAGCGCTATACAAGGAACAGATGGACTGAGTTGCATTTTTTTTCCATGTTCACACCCCCTTGAATATTTCCTCCAATTTGCAGCACGGTGAATGGGAAGGGGAAAAGTGTGTGTGCTACGGACTCAGGAAAACAAATGTTCCATCTCATATTTAGGCTCTAGATTGTGTGTGTGTGTGTGTGTGTGTGTGTGTGTGTGTGTGTGTGTATGTGTATGTGTGTGAGTGTGTGCACATGCAGGCATTGATCATGGAGGTAGAAAGGGGATCTTGAGAGGAGAGAAAGAGATCTAAAAGGATGGGGCGAGAGAAAGAAAGAGAGAAATGGAACACATGTAACATGAAAGCAGAGAGGAGGGGAAGGAGGGCAGCAAGGGGGCAGGAGGACGGGGAGAAAGGTAGACGTGGGAGAGGGCAGAGGGGCATGGGGTTAAATAAGAACAAAGTCTACTGACAAATACGTGTGGAGATAGAATAATACCCATTTCTTTGTAGGTTAACTTTTTAAATTATTATAAATATAAGCACCCCCACAAAAAGTATGGGCTCTAATCTCATCTCTTCTATTTTAGATATGAGTTCTTGTTAAACTTTTTAAATGAAATGTATGAGATCACAAAGGTAAAAAATAACATAACCACTGTTACGTACTTATTACACACAGTTTAAAAAATAAAGCCTTGCCAATACAATTGAAATTACACGTGTTCCCCTCTGTTTTCTCCCTTCCTCTCCCTAGGTAACCTGTACCCTCAGTCTGGTGTTTATTTCCCATGTTCACCTGCTGTATCTTTGCAATACACGCACATGTCTTTAAGTATTGTTTTGTAAGTTTTTAAAAAGCACTGTGTGGATTGTGATTGAGTCCCACTTTTGTTATACTCAACATGCTTGGGAGTTGTTTTGATGAGTCCAACTCTGTCCCCGACAGCTTTCCGTCTCACCGGCAAGAACGACTCCTTCTGCAGCAGTTTATTGTATGCGCATCTTACACTCTTAGAAGCTTAAAGACCGAAGACGCCAAGAAGCGGGAGAGCGGTTGCTTATATAGTCTAAAGGTCCCATCTATGACGTATAAGAAGCGGATTGGTTGCTGGAGATCACGCCACGGGAGGAGGCGAGGGAGAGCAGGCTCTTGTGCACGCCCCTTATGGGCGCAGCAGGATGTTTACTGTTAAGAAGGTCCGGATACCGGCGCCATCTTGTAATGGCGGCGGAGGCTGTGGCTCTCCACACACATCATGGCTTTTGGTGGTGACAACCTTGTGCATGTCAGGATGCTGAGCAGCATCTGGCCATCTGACCACTGGATACCAGAAACATTTTTCACCCTAGTCATGAGAAAAATGGCCAAAAGTCCTCTGGAAGGCAGCCACTCTGGGCAGGAATACTTTTATGAGAGAAGCAAAATGATAAAGTTGATGAGTATACATAGTAGGAGTAGACTTAGAGAAGTTTCATCTGCCAGTAAATATAACAGTTGCTTCCAGATTCCACTATTCTAAATAATAATACAATATTTGTATTTTATTATTTTCAAGCAAGAAGCTAACCCTTAACCTAACCCTAATTATTAACATGATCATAGCCTA